TCTCTCTCTCTCTCTCTCTCTCTCTCTCTCTCTCTCTCTCTCTCGCCGTCTCGCTTCCTCCCTCTCTGACACAGGTCCTGGAAGGCTTCCTCCCTCTCTGACACAGGTCCTGGAAGTGCAGTTGGTCACAGTCTGTGAGCAGCACCAGGGTGGACTTGGGTGTGCACTGTGGCATGTGTCTGTAGGTAAAGGCTGTGAGGCTGCACAAGGGTGGCCTGGAAGTGGGTGTGCTGGTTTGGATTGAGGACAAAAGCACTCTCCCTGCTTTTTAACCTGATGTGAAGTGGGCAGAGTAGGGCCTTGGGTAGATGGTGTCACATGGGTTCTCTAGTCCCGAGGCTCCAGTTCTACTGCTGCTCCGAGGAGCCCAAGGCCAGCATGGATTAACACATACTAAGCTGGAGTTTCTCAGCTTTCCAGACCAGTGGAAACTCAGTCACTGAGTCCAGATGTTCAGTTAATAAACCCTTTCTCTGAGACTTCTTCCTCCCAGTGTCTGAGGTTGTCCATTTATTCCTTATTCTAATTTGGAAATTGGGTTGGCTCAGGGAAGAGGCAGGGTTTACTTTCAAGTCTTTTTGAAAAATGGAAATACTCAATTTTATATTAACAGTTTATCAGATACCTTCTAATTTCTGAAGTCTCATTTCTGAATAAGAAGTCAGGGTAGTTTTTACAGGCTTTAACATTTTTTATTTATTTTTTAAACAGTGCTCACTTACATAGGCCGTGCTGTTTATGTAGGCTGTGACTATAAGCCCTTAGGCTATTTTGAGTTAAGTTCTGTCAGTATTTGTCTTTTAGTCCCAGAAAACAAAACAAAATGAGATTAGAGACTAGGAAGATAGTATAAAATATATTTTAAAATTTGTTTATAGAATATATAAAGTATTTTATATTCATAAAAATTTGTAAAATGCCAAAGTGGGTATTCATGAAAATATGAAAGTGTATTTTGGAAAGCTATGTTAAAAACTACCAAAGAGACCCACGGAGGGAGAGCCTCTTGCTCAGTGATGTGCCCTAGCACTGTCGTGAGGACATCGGCGTGAGGGTCGGGGGTCAGGACAAAGTTAGATGTGTTTACTTAGACACCCTGTTTAAGGGGCAGGGAGGTGGGGGGCATCACTTAGTGTTTTGACTTTTCCTATAATCTGCCTTTCCCAGTTGACCTCCAGTGACAGCCAAGTAAGCCAGGGCTCGCCCAGCTGACTATTTGAGTACAGATGCAGTTGTTGTCTTAGGTCTTCCTCACTAAGTCATCTCGAGATGGACTGACAGATCCCTCTCAGTGTTTCTGTCACATCGATACACTCCATGACTGAGAGCAACCTGTGGAGGAACCTAGAACTTTCATGTTCACTCTGTCGCTGAGGGAAGTCAGGGCAGGCACTCAAGGCAGGAACCTGGACACAGGAACTTTCCCAGAAGCCTTGGAGCAGAGCTTGCTCAGCCTGCTTTCTTACAGAGCCCAGGACCACCTGACAGAGCTGGTACCACCCACAGTGAGCTAGGTTTTCCCGGAAGTGAATACAGGAGAGACAACTAAAAATTAAGGGCCATTTGAGGGGTAATATGGAGACCTAACACAGTGGAAGCTTCCTAAAACATATACATATATGACAGTGATCTAGATAAAGTTGCCAAATAATGGAGGAAATAGAACCCCAACTGGCCATCTCTTGTCACCAAGTGAAGCTTCTAGTCCAGGGACTGGGTTACATCTAACTGATGTTGGCCGAAGGGCCCATGGGAATCGTCAAACAACCCAGGCTGTTGCTAAGACTATAAGTTGCTCTCCACAAACTGATGGCAAGGGCCCATTGCTGAAGACAACGCCCACACAACTCATTGAACATGGAGAAGTAGAGCTTGGGCCTACAGAGAACCTTCACCCCTCCATTCTGGTGTCTTTGCTACTGGAAGATACTCTGCATCCTACCTACCAAAAGAGAAAGTTAAACACCTAGCCACAAGCCCTCTGACTGTGGTGTGTTGCCTGTAAAATATTTTAGTGCAACAGCACCACAGAGCTCCTGGAAGTGACCAACCAATGGCTGATCTAACTTAAGGCTCACTCCATGAGAGGGAACCCATACCTGGTACTTCTTGGTGTAACTAGAACTTAAGACAGATAGCCCAGAGACCTAGGATAAAATCACATACTACTGTTCTAAAACAAAGCAATCATAGCTCCTGTGAATTCAGAGATGGGGCAGCATGCACAGGGCCTGCACGGGCCTGCACCACATCCTTCATGTATCTCTTACGACTTTCAGTTTAGTGCTTTTATGGGATTCCTGAGTCAGCAGATGAGTAGTCTCTGATTCTTGATCAAGATCCTTTTGTTTGTTTTATGTAATTCTGATGTTAGTTCCTTCTGTTCGTCCAGTTCTGATATTAGCTTATGTTTAATCTTACTGTATTTTATTATTATTCTTATATTTTTATAATTTAAGATAATTTTAAATTTATTTTGATCATATTCTTCCCCTCTCCTAAGTCTTTCCAGATCCTCTCCCCTCCATACCCACCTAAACAAAACCCAAGACAACAATGAAATCTCCCCAAACCAAGAAAGAATAAATCCACACCCCCTAAACAAAACACCAAACTATAATCAAATAAAAGCAGCTCAAAAACCAACCAAGCAAAACCCAAACCCCTGTGGAGTCCATTATATGTTGGTCAGCTCCTCCTGAACATGAAGCCTGTCCTGGAGTGGTTAATAAATCCAGTGTCAGTCTTTTGGAAAAATTGATTTTCCTTTTTCCTAGCAAGTATAAGTGCAGTTCGGTTATCATAGTGGCTCGGCCCTCCCTCCCTCCCTCCCTCTCTCCCTTCATTCATTGATTCATGAAAATGCCCTATAGACTTGCCTATAGGCCAGTCCTATGGGGACATTTTCTCAGTTAAGATTCCTTATTCCCAGATGACCCTAGCCTGTGTCACGTTGACATATACAGTAGCCAGCAGCCATGTACAATCCCAGTGAGCAGTCTGCTGACAGCTGGATTGAAAGCAGTGTTACATGACAGGCGATGAGGTAATGTTAAATGATAACATGCTATATTTTGCTATTTTTAGAATACACTTTTGACAGTAAAACATTATAAACTATATACTGAAGTCATGTTCTTTTATAATACACAGACAGTTCTCTCTGTTAGCTCTGTCTGGTCTATCTAGACCAGGCTGGCTTTGAACTCACAGAGATCTACTTGCCTTTGTCTCTCAAATACTCTAGCATGTGCTGCCACACCAGATGCTCACTGTGGTTAAAGGCTTTCTGTACATTGTTTCTAGTTTCTCGTGTGGTTTTCAGGCTAATAAGTTGAAAGCCATCATTTTTGTAATGAATGTGAATGGTGGTGTCATATTAGAGGTGCAAAAGGAGCAGAGCAAGATGGGAAACACACACACACACACACACACACACACATGCAGGTGTGTAAGTTCCGTAGTCAGCTTCAGTGAAAGAGTTTTTAAAATCAGGAAGAACAGGAATTAAAACAAATGACAAGAAGATCTGTAAATACCAGAAAGCCATTTGTTCCTTGAAGCACACCTTAGCAAAATGGGAATAAAGGGTCTTTCCTTAGTAATCTTCAGTCTTCTGGCCTCTGCGCCAGTTAGCAAGAATAAGTAGTCAGGGGGAGCCACAGGGAGTGCCAGGACAAAACCAGAGTTACAGGTGAAGTGTGAGCAAGCTGTAAAATCGGCAGCCATTGTATGACTGCTTCACCTAGTATCACAAGCCTAGGGGATGCATGCCTAATCAGTAAGGAGAGGGAAGTGCAGCTTCCAACTTTTTACTTTGTGTCTTTTAGACCTGAATATTTTCTCATGTAAATGCATTAATTAATGTGTAATTCCTTCGGGAGTGCACGCGTGATCTTGTGTACTCACTGGAGCCAGAGCTGCAGGTACGTCAGTATCAACTCATAAATGTCTTCCCACTGAGTTGTGAGTGACATAGCCTGTTCCTCCTCACTGCTCTTATTTACTGTTGCTTGGAGGTTACTAGCCAGCCCTATTGCATATGAAAAAGAATTGAATGTAAATATTGGGAAATTAAGGTATTCTGGAGAGCCAAAGTGAGTTTCCTGATCATGTGATACCAGTATGTATATATTCTGTACATTTACATTTTTGTGAAGGGTTTATTTGGGAAGGATACTTAGAGGGTAAATCTGCTTTTTAAATATTTTTATCTTCACTGTCAGATGATATTTGTACTATACATTAATATACAGTCCCATCGCCTCCCCCAAGTTAAACTTGATTTCTCTAATGGTCAAGTTAAAATTAAGGAGTATAGAAAAATAACAGATAAGAAGGGAGGTCCAAGAAAGAGATGGCAGTTGACTATGGAAGACAGAGCATCTGTTCTTAAAAAATAGAACATTTGCAAATAAAGGGAAGATGGTAGCACTGGGAAAATACTTTTCTTTGTTGAAATTGTAAGGAAGGGGCTGATTCAGGGCAGGAAGTGATTCAGGCCTTTGCAGCAGATGCTCCTGGAGGGTACGCACTGTGTACTCTTACTGTGGCTTAGTCATTGTTCTGTATTGAAACTGCTCCGATGTTCTTCTCCCTTAATGGAATGCAAGACTTAGGTACCACTGACCCGTTTTGTATCCCAAGCACTGCCACAGTGCATAGTCTGTGACTTCTTCAATAAATGGTATTGATGAAACAGCAACATAGGAAGATGATTGATTCTGCTGGACTGAGTAGCTCATTGGATCTGCAGTAAGATCTGCAAAAAGATTCTACAGGAATTGCCCTAGTATAATACGCTTCACTTGCTGAGCAAACTCTTACTGAGTAACGCCAGCTTGGTGCTGCGGTTGTAGAATGAATGGGTCTTGCTCACAAGCTTTCAGAGAAGGGAAAATGGCTGGCTCTCTTGGATGCAATGTGCCTGACAGGGAGCACCGTCCTCAGCATTGAACAGAGTCACAACGGACATGGTTAATGTGGCTTGAGGTGGGAATGGGGGAGATCACTTGGTTTTATTCTCAGTGGTTGAATGAGTTATCCAGGGAAGAAGGGGAAGGAGAGGTCAGGCCAAGGCACAAAAAGCACATATGGCATCTGGCGTTTGTCATGTATTGTGAAATCACACAGAGGTCAGTAGGTGTTTCTGGAGCGAGCATCCATCCATCCATCCTTCCTTCCTTCCTTCCTTCCTTCCTTCCTTCCTTCCTTCCTTCCATCCATCCATTTTGTCCAGAACCCATGCTGGCCTCATCTAGCTGGAATAGCCAACCTTGAGCTCCTGATCTTGACTCTACTTCCTGAGTGCTAGGATTACTGGCTTGGATCATTACTGTTGCCCTTATATATGGGACCTCTGTGTGCGTGTGTGCCTGTGTGTGGTGATTGTGTGTGTGTGTGCACGCACGCGTGTGCACATATGTGTGTGTTGCTAAATCATAGAGAACCTTAGCTAATGTGCTAAAGACTTGGGCTTAGACTCTAGGTAATAAAGAGCTATTGGAGGAGTTAAGCCAGCATGGGAGTTGTACTTGGAGAGGACCTCGTAGTAGCTTTGTTCAGCATGAGTCAGTGGTCTCAGAGAATGGAGCCTGAGCCAGGGCTGGACTGGAGGGGAGCCAGTAAGTAACAGTGAGGAGGTGGGGCATTTGTATCAGGTGGCTAGTGAGGGAGAAGGGAGAGTGACTCCCAGGCTTGTTTCTAGGTATGTAGGGTTGACACAGAGAGGCCAGGTGTCATCTAGAGGTGCTGCTGGAGAGTGAAGTGAAGTAGCAGTGGGCTTGGGAAGAAGGTTGATCTAGTTTCAGATGTGGAACTGAGTAGTCAGGTGGATGGTGTAGACGGTCAGGATGAGATCTGAGAAGTTAAACTTTGAGTGGTTGCAAATTGTGGATGAGAGTCTAAAGCAATGGCTCTTGCCTTTCCTAACGCTGTGACCCTCCCTTTCACACACTTCCTCATGTTGTAGTGACCCCCAACCCTAAAATTACTTTGGTCACTACTTTATAACTCTTAATTTTGCTACTATTATGAATTATAATCTAAAATGTTTTGGAGATAGCGGTTTACCGAAAGGGCCACGACCTACAGTAGGTTGAGAACCTGCTGGCCTAAAGACTAGCAGTTAATGTTACACGTCCATTTTAATGAGCAAAAGAACCTATAAAGAATCCAAAAGAGGAGGAAAGCCAGATGAGAAGACATTTCTGGAGGCCATGGGAGGAGAGTTTCTTGAATAAAGAGCTACGTCAAACCTCTTGAGATCAAGTACAACACAGATAGAAGTTGTCCCTTAGATTGGAGAGGTAAGGAGTTACTGGTGATTTTGGTGATTTTGAATTTCAGGGGAAAGATAGGTATAGGAAAGAGAAAATTTCAGGAAAGAACAAGCATGAGTTGAAGTGGAGATACAGGCAGTCTCTGGGAAGGAACAGGTAGAACCAGGGTGTTGGGGAGACAGTATAGATCAAGGGTCAAATCTGGCTGGACAGATGTACTGAGCTTGCTGGGGACTGAACTTGGGCACCATGTACAACCCTAGGTCAAGTGCATCCTAAGCCCTCTTTGAGCCTCAGAAAACAGGCAAGAAGATGCATAGACAGACAGAGATACACACACATATGCACTCACTCACACACACACACACACACACACGCAGAGAGAGAGAGAGAGAGAGAGAAAGGGAAGGAGGGAGGGAGGGAGGGAGGGAGAGAGAGAGAGAGAGAGATTATAAAAAGAGAACAAAATGATAATGTCCCATGATATGTTCTGGACATTGATTCCAGGACTGGAGGGGACCAGACTCCACAGTGCTCAAGTCTCTAGAGTGAAATGAACTAGCACTTGGATCATGTGACCTGTGAAAAAATCTCCTGCCTACTCTAAATCATTTCTAGATTTCTAATACTAAATATGTAGTAAATTTATATACTGTGTCAGTATATATTATGTCCTACTTAGGAAATAATGTCAAGGAAAAAATCAGTATGGATTTAGTATAGAAATAATTTTTTTCAAAAACTGTTTGAATTTAGAGATATTGGATTACATTAGATTTTTTTCTATATAAAAACATGTTATAGTTCCTATTTTATAGAGGCTAGTGTGTGACTCTTTGTGATGATTCTAGAAATTATTGCATGTGTTTATTATAGATATCATTACCAAATCAGATGCAGAGTTTTTAGATACTTTAAAAAGCAGTGGTTTGAAATAGCCTTGTCCTTAGAAATGACCGCCTTCTCCAAAGGTCAGGGTGCACATTGAGTCCACGGAGAGTCCAAAATAGACTCCTTTAAAGGTTTAATCCTAAAGGGCTCAATTGAGTATTTTCTAATTTGTACTTGACTTCTTCCCAGAGGAGTTAGTTAGGTCCTTTTCTTCTTCTCGGACATATTTGATAGTGTGCCAAGTTTAATTCACGTGATACTTCCTTTCATTACAGGAGCTGAGGATGCGGTGGGTCCTGAAGGCATGGAAAAGTTCTGTGAAGACATTGGTGTTGAACCAGAAAACGTAAGTCCACCTTTGGGACAGTGTGGAATGGTCCTCCTTTCTTGCCTCTGTTTGTCTTTTGCAAAGTAAAGCAGTAACACAAGACGTAATTATGTGTTGGTTTGTGTGAGGCCAGCTAAGAAATATGTTCTAATTCTAGTTTGATTTGTAAACAGAATGTTTTCTCTCCCTTTCCCTCACTACTCCCTCCCTCCCCCTCCCCCTTCTTTGTGAGAGACAGGATTTGTCTGTGTAGCCCTGGCTGTTCTGAAACTTGCTGTGTAGACCAGGTTGGCCTCAAACTTAGAGATCCACCTGCTTCTGCTTCCCGAGTGCTGGGATTGAAGGTGTTCACCACCACTGCCTGGCCTGGTTTCTTCCCTTCAAGTGCTGTGCTGTAACTGTGGTCGTTTACTGAGTTGATTTCTTGTATATTCAGTGATAGTTTCTGATGTATAAAAAGGGTGTGGACACACATACCTACAGTGCCAGATGAGCAGAGGGTACGAGTCACCGTGTGCTGTGTGCCTTTATCCCCTCAGTAACTATTCCCGCTTAATAAAAGAGTTCCAGATTTTAAATAATTATTCATGAAGGGTTGAGTAGGTGGTAATTTCCATAAAATTTCCTCAGGTCTTTCACTTCTAATTGAACTTAACTCAAAAACTGACTGACTTTTAGTATAAAAGCACTAAATATTTCCCTCAGAATTTAGAACTATTTTATATATGCTTAATTATTTTTGCCTAGATCTCTGCATCATGACTGTGAAATGGTCTGTCTTGTTCTCACACGTTACACTAAAATGAAAAATTACATGTGTGCCCTGTTGATAAATGATGCACGTCAGTATCTCTCTAACTGCCAGTGTAACTAACACACACGGCCCGTCCCAAGGGAGTTTGTGGTCTGCAGGAGGTCTCAAGGGACTGTCCCTTTTGTTCAGACTTTTAAAGTCATCTGTTGCCCACGGTGTGTACTGTGCTGCTAATGAAAACTGGGAATTGAGGTTTTACACCTTTTGGTCTTCATTTTCCTTTTCTCCTTTTCTGCGCCTTGCCGACTACTCCCTCCCCACAGGTTCTCCAAGAGAAGAGTTAAATTTTCTAAAGTATCCTTAGAATGTGTCTCATGATGTGGATTTTTGTTTTGAAAATTTAAAAAAATTATTTCAAGGTGTTCTCACTTCAATATTTTGGTAAATTATTCACCTTGGTGTAAGCATTTAGAGAGGAGCATGTCATCAGTGTTTGACGTGGTGGCCTCTGCTGTGCAGGAATGAGGCAGGTTTCTCTAGCTGTTAGCTGAAGGGTGGGAGGGAGTTGAGCTGGCAGTGGTTAGAGATACGGATGGGCAAAGAAGAGAGATGGAAGAGGGGCGGGGCCAGCCGCAGGTCCAGTGAGAGTAGGAGTTCAGGGTTAGGCTTCAGGATCTGAGGGATGGGCTGAACATATATTCACTGAGGCAGAAAGCCTGCCTCCATGGGAGATGTCCTGGCTTTGATTCTGACTGGAAAAGGAAAAGTGCTTGAAGCTCCTCACCAATAACAGTTCTGGAGAAAAGGCAGCTAGCTATTCCTGGCATCCTTGTTGGCAGTTAGGAACCCTTTAGAACTCTGTTTCTGTAGGAAGAGACAGTCTTGATATGTAAAATTACGTGGAGGACTAAAAGACTAAATTAAGACTTGGATTGTTTCCAAGTATGTGCTGCTGTGCTTCAGTTCTGAGGTGGGGCAGAAGTACTGGTGGTATTTCATATCCTGAGGTAAGAAGTGGGGTTATAAACCCTGATGTACTGTCAGTCCTCAGGCTGCAGCCTGCCAAGCAAGCCAAGCAGTGGCTGAGGGCAGTGTTTGTTTTCTGATTCTATGAACACTTTACAGGTATTTTAACTCCTTGGTTTCTGATTTTATCAGGCCCATAAAATTCAGTATCCTTTCATTTACTAAGGATTGGGGGTCCTGAAAAACACATAGCTTTCTCACTGATTTAACCCAAGGATGGTGAGTGTCCACTGTACCTGTTTAACTGTGTGTGTGTGTGTGTGTTTGTGTTCGTGTGTGTAAGTTCATGTTCCTTCATTCTTAGCTGCTTATTAAACATGTTTTTATGCAGAACTTTAAAAACACTATTACATCTATTACAAACTAGATACAAATTAGTATCAAATACTAAAACTCTGTTCTCTTCTTTTTTTTCTCAAAACTTATCCATATACTCCTCTTTGCTCTTTAAGATTCATGACCTTTTTTCATTAATTGGTGTGTGTATATGTGTGTGTGCCTGTGTATGTGTGTGTGTCTGTGCCTATGTCTGTGTGTGTGTTTCTGTGTGTCGGTGTGTGTGTGTCTGTGCGTCTGTGCGTGCATGTGTGTGTGTGTTGCGGTACATACACTCTTCCTTAGGGAAGACTATTTCTCCCACTCTGGGCGGTCCTGACTGGCATCCTTCCTGGCCTGCAGTTCTTTGTGTGGGGCTGAGGCCTGCTGGGCTTTCCTGTCCCTGTTACCATGTCCGTGGGTACCATCCATGTTGAGTTCATGTTTACTTTAGTCTTTGTGACAGAACAGAATAGAGGCTAAGCCTGATAATACGCCCAGTCAGTTAAGAGTATAGGTTGGTTTACCTGAGTAAATTGATATTAATACATCAGAATTGCAGGACACCTCTGAGCTAGGAGAAACTCTACTGTGGGTAATCTGAAGAACGTATAATGTGCCCTTTGGGAGAGGAACTCTTCTTAGCAGCCCGCTAATTTATAAATCACATTTCTTTTACCTTTATTTAGCAATCATATTTTGACCTCTTTAAATCTAAAAACCCTACTGATTTTTTAATTTAATGTTTTAAAATAAAAATAATTTTATCACTAGTTTTATTATGTTATTTTTTTCAAACCCAACTAACTCTGCTTTGAAGCCACCTTTCATACCTCAGTGACTGGGCCACTGTGGGCAGAAGCTCTTGCAGGACATTGGAGTAGCTAATTGCCGAGGTCTGATTTGTCACTGTATCTCTGTATTTTAACAGGTAGTTATGCTTGTCCTAGCTTGGAAATTGGATGCACAAAACATGGGCTATTTTACACTACAGGAGTGGCTGAAAGGAATGACTTCCCTACAGTAAGTCCGGGGCTGTGAGGGTCTTGGGTGGTTAGTAGAGGGGTGTAGAATATGGGTGTAGGGTAAAGGAGGGGCCTGTCTGGATCTCCTCGCTCCTGGGAGCTCAGGATGTGGTAGAACGTGAAGAACAGAAGCCTGGTAGTGTAACAGCTTCCCTTTGGCCCGATATGGAAAGACCACAATCCATCCTGAGGATAATGATGTCATAGTTTAGTGACTGAAGTGTTTATATATTATATGTATGGCAAAAAAAGCAGTAGTATTTCTCTGGTGTAGCTCTGGCAAGAAATAAGTCTCCCCTTTCCCATGCATGTGAGCCACGTATGTAAACTAAAATTTTATAATAGCCACATTAAAAAAATAAAGTTTCAATACATTTTATTTAGCCACTGGCACCCACACATTATCATTCCAGTATACAATCATGCTTTAAAAATTAAGCTATTTTATGTTTTCTTTCTTTTAAAGTTCTTTGTTTTAAAAACTTATTGTTTTAGTCTATCCGGTCAGAACCATGTTGAACCCCTTAGTCCAGACTAAGAAAAAAAATTAGTAGTTTTATGTATTTACTTGGTATGTGTGTGTGCGCGCATATCTCCCCCCCCCCTGCTGTGCATCCGTATGTGCGTGTGTACTTTCTTAGCTTAGCGTTTCATTCAAAAAGACAAATTATTTTGCTGTATGGGAAGGAGCAACTTTGGAGAGAGGGATAATTCAGATGGTGTCCAAGATGAAAGACTAGTTAGCTTTGGTCTAAGAACCAAGAGTACGTTATCTTTTTCTTTTCCCCTTAACTAGGAATGACAGACTTACAATTTATTGGATTAAAGTTGTAACTGAGATGGTTTCATGACTTTATTGAAACCATGATGGACTCGTTGGCCTTTAGTGTCCCTGTGGGTACAGCCTCAGCCATGTGCATTGTGCCTTCTCTTTGCTGTTTTCCTCTTTGAACCCCACAGTGTGAAAACAGGCAGGTTGGCTTCACTTTGCACATTGCACAGATGGGGAAACTGAGGGTTTAGGGAGAGTGATATGTGACTCGTGAGAGGAGGGCTGGGAAGAAAAAACACGACTTGGCTCTTAACTCGGTTTCCTCTGCCAGCATCGTCCGTGGCGGAAGTCACCATCCTTTTGTAGATACATTTCTTGTCTGTGTGCACTACAGTTGTAGGGTGGAGGCCTAGGAAATGCCTGTGTAATGGCGTCTGTTGTGTTAGAGCCTGCTGACCTATCCTTTTCCTTATTGCTTTTCCTACTGCTGTCAGAAAAGAGTGATTTGTAGCTGTTCTCTGAGTGTCCATGTGATGAATGCGTGGCGTGTGGAGACTTTGTTCAGCTTGTCCAAGGCTGAGGCAGCACCATCTTTCAGGCCCGTGCTCAAAGGCCCGCGCTCATTTGTTCTTGAAGGGGTAGTGCTCATTTTCATACAGTCTTAGATTCTGTCAGACATTTATCTTCACAAGATTTCTTATTCATGTCAGGCCTTGCCTGTGTGTTTGGGTGCGACACTTCTGCAGAGAGGCCAGTGTCTGCATTGTTGGGGACACAGGACTCCATGAAGCTCTTGGTTATAGACTCTGTTCTGTGATGTAGTGCAGTGTGTGATGGGTGGATTCTTGAAGGTGGCTTGGACCTAATTCTACAAGTTCAGGGTCTGGTGATACATGGCCTGCTATAAAGACAGAGGAATCTGCTGTCCTTTTCTCTGTGTGTGGTGTAAAATGTGTAGACTGGTTTCCTTATCCAACATGGAGGTGCTCATTCAGGTAGAATTATCGCTCTGTGGTTCAAGTGTTGTACAATCTCAAGGTTTTAAGGACCTTCCTGTAGCTTCCTTCCCTTGATTAGCAATCTGTTTAGGAAATATCTGAATGGCTCTGATATGCCAGTTGCCACATCCTGGAAGAGAAAACCATGAGCACAATTCTCTCTCAGTGGTTCTCAACCAGTGGGACACAACCCCCTCGTGGGGTCAAACAGCCCATTCATAGGGGTTGCCTATGATCATTGGAAAACTCAGATATTTACGTACAATTCATGACAGTAGCAAAGTTACAGTTATAATTTTACAGTTGGGGGTCACTACAATATGAGGAACTGTATTAAAGGGTCACAGAATTGGGAAGGTTGGAAACCACAGCTCTGTCTTGTCACCATGACCTAACAAGAAGTGTGATAATTTGAATGAGAATGTGGCCCCATAGCCTGGGTATTTGAACATTTGGTCCCCAAGTTCCTGGTACTGTTTGGGGCCATTTAGAAGGTGTGTCCTTGCTGGAGGAAGTATGTCACTGAGTTGGGATTTGAGATCATATAGCCTTGCCTTCTACTTCTCTCCCTGCTTCTTGCTTGAGGTTGAGATGTGATGTCTTAGCTCCCTGTCACTGTGTCTGCTGCCTACTACTGGGCCTGCTGCAGGATGGACTCTTAGCCATCTGGAATTGTAAGCCAGAATCAACTTGTTCTTTAAGTTACCCTGATCAAAGTGTATTATCAAAATGACAGAAAACTAACTAATGCAAGAAGCAGCTCAGAGAGGAGAGGTTTATGTTGACGCACGACATGAGTAGATGTCTGCAGTGGGGACCTGGCGACAAAGGCATGCAAGTCTGCTTCCTCCAGCGTGGCCACACTTCCCGAGAGCTCCACAGCCTCTCAACCATGCCACTAACTAGAAACTAAGTTTTAAAACGTAAGCCTAATGTGGACACTTTGTATAGGCTCCTGACCACCTCATAATGCCAAGTGCGTTTAGACCAACTTAGAAGTCTTCATAGTCTTAGGGTTCCAACATTTTTTAGAAGTCCAAAATCTCTTTCGAGAGTCCAGGCAATCAATTAGTTGTGGGCCCTGTAAAATTAAGTATACTATGGCATAGAATAAACACTCTGATTCCCAAAATGAGGAATTGGGAGGATACCAGGAAAGAACTACCTAAGACCAGAAGCCCTAAATGAACACAAAACCTTGAAGCTCCATGCCCAGGATCTGAGGGCTCGCAGTGGCTTTCAAGCTCCGCTGGGCTACAGTATCCCTCCCACTGTGTCACCTGTGGGACACATGGCATCTCTCTTGGGCCAGCTCTCTTCGTACTTGCAAAGGTTCCTCAGTAAACATGACCACCTTCCTGGTTGCCGTCTGCGGTATTTTGGGATCTGTGTTGCAACATGGGCTTTAGTTCCACTGCTTGACGCACTGCCCACTCAGAGTTCTGTGCGGGAGCGCCTTTCTACTACACGTCGCCTGGCCTCAGTGTCCTGAGGGAGCCTTGGCAGTTCTCTCTCCATGACCCCGTAGCTCCAGTACTGTGTCTGCCTGAAAACATAGCACGTGTGGACAGATTGTGCCAAGTTGTGTTGCCAGCTCTAAATACACCCTGATCCAAGGTGCAGCGGCCCCTGTGTGCCTTCGACGCTGAACCTGGGGAAATGCCGTCCTAAGTATTCCACTCTTCCTAGGTGGCCTTCTTCCAGGTGCCGCTTGAATCAGTCACTCTCCAAATAAGAGTTTTCAAAGGAGTCTGCATTGCTGCATTTTGAAGTGTGATCAGTATGAGCCAATGGCTGAGGGGTTTCCTCAGCAATGTTGTTGGTCTCTCTTAATAGTTCCAGCTAGCTGGTCTGTCTGCACTTGCTCAGTTCTCATCTTGATCCCAGTATTAACACGGTTCAAATCCTTGCCAAACTGGTTCACTTCTGTCTTCACCTCCAGCCATGTTCACACTTCTTTCTTCCTGTTCTCTTGACTGTAAATGGAGGTGAACGCATGTGAGCCTTGCCCACAGCTCGGACATTTTACACTGTCCTGAAATTTCCTGTTAGACAAAATAGACGATTAGTTTTGAACTCAGCCTTCAGCTTTTTAGAACATGAGCCAACAATTGCCAGTTCCTTGGCAAATATGATTGGTCTCAAGTCCAGTTCCCCAAGCTCCATCCCCCCCCACCACGCGCCCTCCTGAGAGCTGCTGGGTAGTCGTCCCTCCGTTGGTACTGGAGGCTTCCACACTTTGACCAGGCTAGCCCAGTAAGCTCAGCTTGTGACATTCTAGAACTTTGCTAGCCTTAAAACTGTTGCAGCTTTAAATACTCCAGTAAATGTGTTCCAGATGTGTATGAACCACACTGTCAGGCATTTATCTTTATCCTTCCTTCTGGTTCATTTCAGGGCCCCAGCCCCTGGGGTGCTGCTGCCCACACTCAGGGTGGTGGGTGTTCATCCCTGAGTCATCTCTCCAGAAACACCTTCACAGGCACCGAGAGTTACACTTCCTGGGTGATTCTAAGTGCAGCCAGGTTGACCATGAAAGTAACTTGTCACCAAAACAAAGCCCGTTAGGGGCAGGACTTAGAAGTAATACTTAAAAAGTTCAGAAATATTAGTCATTCTGCTCGTTGAATCAGCTAAGTCCTGTGTTTGTAAGATGGGTTTACCTAGTCCACAGGAAAACTCAAAAGGAAGTTGCTTGTGTGTACTAAAATGGAAGTGGCCTGTCTTTCTAGTTATGTTTGTCTTCTGTTTAGATTTCTCCCCCTGGTTTTTGTCAGTTTCATTTTATTAAGTCTTTCTTGTTAAATACTATAGATTCAAGTTGGAACCCATGTGTATATGATAAAAACCTGTATCTATGTGCAGTGATACTCATTTTACTTTATTTAAATTGATACAGCAAAGTACCATAGACAGAGACGCTTATAAATAGCAGAAGTTGGCTCCGCACAGTTCTGGGTGAAGCTATTGGCTAAGGCTCCAGCAGCTTCGGTATCTAGGGACAGCTTGGCTCTGGCTTGTCCAGGAGTGCTTGATGGCTGTGTGGCTCACCCGCTGGTTAGGACAAACGAGTTACTTTAGGCCGCTTTTTTAAGGACATTAATCCCATTCACAAAGGCTTTGCCTTCATGACTCAGTCCAAAATTCACCTCCAAAATTTTAAAAATATTTTTAACTTACTTGTTTAAAATCTAATCAAACATGTATGTGTATATTTTGACCATAACAGTTCACTACTCTTCCCACCTTCTCCTGGTCACCCTCACCCCATCTTTCTCCTATCTACTTCACATCCTCCCCCTTTAACTGTTTTTTTTTGTTATTAATAACCCCTGAATGTAGTTAATTCTTCCCTGTGTGCCTGGGTATGAGGCCATCCACTGGGCATCAAGCCCCACAGTTTAATACAATGCCTTGGGGATTAAGATTTCAGCGGACAAATTGGTGGCGTGTGTGAGTGAGAGAGTGGCAGACACAGGTAGAGACTGTAGCAGTCCAGCCTTTGGTGAAAAAGACAGCCTCTCAGAGTGGTTATTACCTCACAGTGGGGATGTTTTAGAACTGGAAGGGCCTTGAGTTTGGGGAGGGCTTAGAATGGTAGCCAGTGTTTGTGTAAAGCTCTGGTAGGCTAGGAAAATAGCTTTGGACCACATGAGGGGATGCAGGTGTTGAGGGCTGAGGGGTGGGCCTGCTGTCTGTACTGAGAAGTGTACTTCACTCACTGAGCTTGTGACTTACCATGTAGAATACACTTGAGGTGGAAATACAGCCACTTTCTGGAAAGCCCTCTGGGTTGGACACAACACAAACCTGTTTCTCTATTGTCCCTTATCCTCTGACAGGGTTCTTGTTGGGTGTCCACTAGAGGGCAACCTATTGTTTCAGGCAGGGCAACTGAGCCCTGTCTTCCTATTGGCTTGAGCTCTGAGTTTACAAAGAAGAGCCCCTGTGATAGGTGGACCAGTACTGCTGGATATACGGGATGGAATTTTGGATATACGTTTGATATTTGATCTCATTTTAAAGAGGAGACTTGCTTATTTCTCACAGTTGGACATGAGTTGCAGATGTTTTTCTAGAGGAGGAGAAAGGTCATCCAGGCCTGGCCCAGGTCTTGTTTTGGTTTTGCACTCTGTCCTGCCCCAGCACCACACACACTCCGTTCTCTCTAGCAGCCCTCTCTGTTGACGTTCCTGCACCTGAATCTGTTGCTCGGGATGAAACAGCCCATCTAAATGTGTCCCTTGCGTTTCCTTTCTAGTGACGACTAGGAACCCAGCCTTACATGGTTTTGGATGGACTAGCTTCCCCCGTTCCAAGCCCTCCCTCAGTATTCGTAACATTAATTTTTTCTTTAATTAATAGGGTCTTGGTTCTGCAGAAGTACACCCAATGTCAAATAAGCCTAAGCCAGCTGCTGCGCCCATGTCCCAGCCATACCTACCCCATGCTGCCTTGGGTGTTTCCTTTTTCTTGTCTCTGCCATCCTCATTTGGGTTCTGACACTAGGTCTATAGTTAGACTCTCAGCTTCTCAACTCTTTTTGGGAGATCTGAAAGCTGTTGAGGGTGCACGCCTGGTCTCTCCCACAGCAGGAGGCTGCCTCTGTTGTTTGTAGGATTCAATATAAAGTTTTCACAGTGGACTGTGGGAGACTTGTATAGCCATTCTTTTGGTTTTGAATGAGTGAGTTCATTAAGTGTATCATAGCAAATGAAATTAAAAGAATAGATTAGTAACAAACATGAAATTGAGGGCTTAAACTATCCAGCAGAATTGATTGTGGAAGCCCTTTTAAAGCAGCCAATGGCATTCCTGATAGAGCCGAGTCCCCTAGGATGAACTTCCAAGTAAACGAACAGAAACCCCAGGAGAGGAATGTCAGTGAGTGAGGAGCTCGCACATCCTCCAGACAGTGCCTGGGAAGCCCCACTAAGGCATTGGCTATAGTGCCTGATTGGGTGGTCCACCTGGAAACCCACTGGGGAAGTTGAGGCAGTCCGGTGGAGCTCCCCACCCCCATGTCCCTCGGCTGACCTTCAGCCTTTCCCACTGCCCACCCTCCTTCCCTCACTCTTGGCGCTTTGATACTACTGGTAAACAAGCCATGGTAGGTTCTGCACTTTGATACTACTGGTAAACAAGCCATGGTAGGTTCTGTGGAAGAAAGCTTTGCCTTCGAGCAGTCTGCTGTTGAGTTGTTCTCCTTAATCCCTGCCACCCTCGGGAAGGCAGCACATCCCCCTGACAAAGATGACACTTAAGTGTGTTTGAGCAGGGGCTGCACAGGATGGGACTGGGGCCAGAGGACAGTCCACCCCTCTTTCAAGAGCCAGCTTCTCAATGAGTTCAGACAGTACATGACAGTTCACCAGTGTACCATTCATTACAAGGTCACAGGAGGACTTTGTACTGTTGACTGAGTTCCTGGGATAGAACTGTGGTCACCGGATTTGTGCAACAAGCTCTCTTATCCCACCCCCCATCTTGTTGGCCTGGTTCTCATTTTTTAGGGCTTACATGTTGCAAATAAAGTTAATTTGTAAAAATTACTAATTAGTGTGCTTCCTTATCAAAGGTAAACACTATTACTTACTGGTAAAAACAGATTGTCATCATCAGGGCTCCTGGAAAACAGCTGGTTTCAAGTTTGAAGCAGAGAAAGAAGAAAATGGGGGCTGGGAACTTCTATGCCAGAGAAGGAGGAAGTGTGTAGAGATTGGTAGGCTCACATCAGAAGGATGCAGGTTCCAGGGCCTCTGCCCAAACTGGACGGTTTGAGCATTGTAGAGAAACAAGTCAGGAATGGATGAACACAGCGAGTTAAAAGAAATGGCAACTCTTAAGTCCACAGAGTGAGAACAGTGTTGTCCAGGGCTCCTCACAGGAGGACATCGGTTCAGGAATCCATGTGCTGCGTCTTCAGGTGTGGTCCTTGCAGGGCTATAAGCTGCTTTGTGTAGATGGGGTGTTCAGCCGCCATTCAGACCCTAGCGGGGGTGTAAAGATGCTTTGTGTAGGTGGGGTGTTGAGTGGCCATCCAGCCCTGCTGCATTTGCTGCTAGGAGAGGCAACTGAGATGTCAGAGGCTGGGGCAAGGGGTGTTTGCAGTGGCTAGGACCCCTGCACCGGTACCTTCATTAGGGGCATTGGAGATTACCAGCAGAAGGCATGTAGGGCTTTCACTGATGTACCCGAATGTCACCATGTCACAGTCAGGATCAGTGTCTCTGCACTAGTACGTCTGATCTGTAAGTTTATATACAGACTATTTAAGGGGAAATTGAGGCATCAGGAAAAGCAAGTTGAAAACAAAACCTGATGAACTGGGTAGTCACAGTCTTGAGGTGGCACCCACAGGCTGCTTAATATTAATATTTCAAAGCTAGGAGAGTACACTCTAGGGCTGGGGAGAAGGCTCAGTTGGCAAAGTATTTGTTGTACAGGGCTAGGGTCTGAGTTTGATTCCCAGACTGGATGTTAAAAGCCAAGCATATTTTCAAGTATACACATGTAAATCCCAGCCCTGGGGAGATGGAGACAGGTAGGTCACTGGGGCTTACTGCCCAGCTATTCTAGCTTACTCGGTAGATTTCTGGCCAATAAGAGACATTGTCTCAAAGCAAGTTTACATGTACAGCACCTGAAGAGTGGTACTTGAAACTGACCTTTGCCCCCCCCCCCCCACACACACACGAACACACAAATAACTAACAAATGGAGAACTCGGAGCATCCCCTCCCTGCGTTAATACAAGTTAATTTCAGCGATAGGGAACAGCCTGGTGTGGCAAGGTTCCTCATGGCGTGCCCTGGAAGCACATAAGGACACAGTGCCATGTTCCCATCAGCAACATGTGTGAGTGATCGTGGGGAACCTACGTGACAGAGTGGCATGCTAAAAAGACAGCTGCAATGGTCTCTGAAAAGCAGCGTCAGAGGCACTTTGCAGAGCAGTTGGAGGCAGTGTAGGCTGTGTGCTAGCTGAGAAAGTAGACATGGAACACTGGAATGGGGTGAGGATTGATGGCAATGTCATTGAAGCGTCCAGGCCTCACGCACGCGCACGTGAGAAGAACATGAGTGTGACGGGGAGTGTGTGAAGCTGTGCTGGGTTCCTGGGTGTCCACTCTTCTGTGCCTTTAACACTTACTAAAAAGTACAGAAAGCAAATGGTCATTATGGACACAGTCCCATTTCCACCTTTTTTTTTAAATTTTGGTTTTTATATTAATTACTCCAATTTAAAAAAAAAACCACTCAGGTTGTAATTTACTTTTATTCTGTTTCCTAGATGTGATACAACAGAAAAACTCAGAACTACTTTGGATTACTTAAGATCATTATTAAACGATACAACAAACTTTAAGCTCATTTACAGATACGCGTTTGACTTTGCACGGGTGAGTTCTCTGGAACCTGTCCAGATGTTTCCCCTCTCCCTCCCCTCTTTTATTGCCTTTGGAGATTTGCTTTTTACACCACAGCAAAGACCTTGAAAAGTGACTCCAAGGGCATGAGCTAGTGTTTCTAATGCTTTGAAAGCTGATTCTGGGCGAATGTGTGTGTTGGCTAGAAGCTTCAGTGACTGCCACTGAACAGCTCCTGTGACAGGCTTAGGAGCAGGTTGTATTCCAGCCCTGTATCTGATGCTTAGAACTGTTGGATAGTCTTGGAAAGGCCGTCCGTTTTCACATAACAGACCTTCTCCCCTAGAGAGACTAGAACTGACCATAGCTAATCCAGTTTCACTTTGAATGATGTCCTGGGAAAGAATGTGAATCTAAGCCAAGTCTGATTTCCTGTTTGTTGACTTATCGATTCAAGTCCGTGTTTGTGACAGGAGTGAATAAAAGCCTGGTCACTTTAGGGAGCGAATTCCAAAGGACTCGGTGCCATGTTCATGGAGAACTGGCCTCTGCCTAACTTATAGCTCTAACTTTACTCCCGATGAGGATCTTCTCTGGGTGTTTGTTGGGTTTAGATGGCTAGACTTTGGTTGGCTGCATTTTTTTTATATTTCCTTCTTTTTTACTTATTTGTTTTGTTTATTCCCAGTACAGTGAGGAATTAGTCTTTCCTTCTCTGTGCTGACCCTTTTTATTCTTCACTCTTTGGCTTTACCAGTTTTAGCACCAAAAATGTATTCCATGATGAATTAGAGTCTGCAGCTGAACATCAGTCAGCAGTGCTATGCAGAGTCATAATTCATGTCATTCTGAAACCGCAGCCTCACAGAGTCGTGGTGTGCATGGGGTTAACTGCAGCTAGGAACGGAAGGATGAGGGTCACACGTGGTGCTTGATGGAGTGGTATTTATGTAATTATACGTGGACGTAGAGCTTAGTACTAGTTTCTAGGTTCAATACATACTCCCCTCCCCTTAAACATGTAGAGGTCTCTTCAGGAATATCTTAACTTTCTACACCCAAATTGGCTCTTTGGCGTCTTGCTTAGGTGTCAAAATTCTCTTAGCCACCCTCTGTGCTTTGGATTCAAGTCTCCTTTGCTCCTTCCTGGCTCCCTCCCATTCTGGGTCAGTCAGTGTGGCCCACCTTACAGGAGCTCTTTCGATCTCCTCTTTCTTGGTGCCTCCACTCCAGTGCAAGCTTGTCAGCTGAGGTCCTTGTTACTTGTAACCTGCCTCTTATGCTAGGCGTCTTTCTACACTCGGCTAGCTCCCTGCATCACTAAGGAGTCATCAGTCATCCTCTGTCCCCTTCCTGAAGCCTTCGGCACCTCTCCCTACATTCATGCCAATGTGTGCATCCTCATGGGGCTGATGCAGCTGCCTCCCAGCAGCCAGGAGATGTTACCCACTGCATATAGGAGGAAAGGGAGCCAGAGGGAAGTAGAGGAATGACCTCTGTCATGTTACTAATGGACAGTGGATCTCCCACTGAAGCACTTGAATCTGGGACTTCCTCCAGCCCGACATAATCCCGTTCCAAGCTCCTGACATGGTGATGTCTGCAGGGAACTGTATTCCGTGTGACTTGTCGAGCCTGAGGCCTGACCCTTCAGCTTTTCTGCTGTGTGTTTCTGGTCATGCTGGGCCATTGTCTGAAGCCCTGTTTGCATTCCCACATCCATCTCCAGGTCTGTGGGCTGCTCTGCTTGTAGCCTGCTGGGTCAGCCCGTGTTGGAGGACTTGGCCACAGTCACCTTCACACCCCAGTAACTCCTTGGTGTGACATTGGAGTTTGAGAACACACTCTTCATATTCCTGGTAGATCCAGGACTGTGAATTTTCTATGTGTTCAGTAGAGGTCTTTGGTTTTGAGGGGCATCTTCAACAGATAGTGGTGAATTATTCCTTTTTATACAATGATGAATAATAACTACTCATTTTTATCATTTAATTACCAAAGCCATTCATTTCAGCTTGAGTACACACTGAGGAGAATCTGTTGATAGTGTATGAATTTTGGGAAGCTGGGTTTTCATTTGCATTCAGTTGGAATGTCTGCAGGCTCTGCTTTGATTGGCTTGCCACACAGGCCAGCAGCTCCTAACCCTGTCCCTCAGCCTCGCTCCCGGGCCATTTCTTTTTGATACATTATTTAGTAATATGTTGATTATTTTGCAGATGTTTGGGATTTCTGGGTAATTTCTGGTAAAGATTTCCTGGGTAATCTTTCTATTATGGATGCTTAATTTAATTCTGTTAGTCAGAGAAGTACAATTTCAATCTGTTTAATATATGGTCCAAAATATGGCCTGCTCTTGATTGTCACATATCTCTGTTGACTCTGAGTTGGGTCAGTTGGGTTGAAGGTGCTCAGGTCTTTACTGACTGCTGTCTGTCAGTTCTGTCAGCTGAGGGATAGTGAATTCCTCAGTTCTAACTTACTCCATTACCCTGCATCCAACCTACTCCAGTATGTTGTGAAGCTGTGATGTTAGGTTTAAACATGCTGTTATGTCCTGAATGAACTGACCCACTTTCCATTCTGAAGTGTGTCTCTTCTTTATTCCAAAGTTACTGTGAGAAACGCACTGCAAATGGCACTCATTGGCCAAAATCTGCATGGCGTGTCAGTTCTCTCTCTCTCTTCCCTTAATCCATGGGTGTCTGTGTATTTAGAGTTGATTTTAGAAAGATGGTGTGCGTGTGGATGTGACAGTGCGTGCCTTACAGACGCTGATGCTGTGTCTGATGTGGATGTAACTGATATGGCCTCCTGTTTTGCTGCTTCTTCCTATTTATCAGACCTGTTCTTCAAAGGGAAAAAATCATCATTGCCGTGCCTTGGCCTCTCTTCATGCCTTCTGTGGGACTGAGGTGGGGTTTTCTGTTTCTTGTGAGTCTGACATTTCTTCCATGTTTTATTACCCATATCTCTATTGTATTGTTTCTGCTGCTCACCCAGGCCTTGCGGTGGTGCGTTAAGGGTTTACGGTTTGCACTCGAATGTGTAGCTGTGTAAGACCCTCGGCAAAGGTGACTCTTGTTTTGCCGTCATAGCTTGTAGACTTTACTCACGCTAAGAGTCTTACACTGTGGTCTTGTTTAAACAGGCAGGTGTGTCTATTGCAGGTACCCAGGTTGCTGCTGCTTCCAAGTTCTTCTTTCCTCTTTGCAGACCAGTCTCTGATGCCATTTTCCTTGTGGGGAACAAAGCTTCCTTAACAGTCCTTGCAGGCAGACCTGCTGCTCAGGAAGACTTTGGCTTTGCCTTCATTTTCACAAGATGCTTCTCTGGGTAAGGCTTGGTGCTGGCACTTTGCCCTCCCAGTGATGTCTTTCGTTGTCTCCAGCAGTGTGGCATCCAGTGCCATTCCCATCTTTATTCTCCAAGCACAATGCCTGTTTACTGAGATAGTTTTCTCTCTTCTCTGCTGTCCAGCAAGTAGGCTGTAATGCTTCCAACACAGTTTTCCCAGTTATTGGGAAACCTGATTGGGATTTGCTGGGCTTTTTGAATCTGTCGGTTCGTAGTTGATATTAAACTGGGAAATCTTTTAGGTCTTACCCTTTAAATGTGTTTTATGTTCTTCCTTCAACTATAAAATGTTTGTTATATTTCTTGATACTGTTTCATGGACCATCAATAGCACATTCTCCTCATTTTAGAGTTTTATTGTTGTGTTCTCCCTTATTAATCTTTAACATTTTCTAATCTCCTGTTAACGTCTTGCATTGCAGATACTATTTCATCTCAGAAGCCCCATTTCTTTTAATACCTTCTGTTTTTCTTCTCAGGACAGTGTCCTTGTACCTCCCTAAACATAGAGACTGTGTTACTAGATAGAAATAGTTGCCAGCCGAGTCTGTCTTCCATTGCATACTGTGTTGGGCAAGTTCCTCCTGATTCTGACTCTTGCTGTGTGGTTAGTTACTGTCCTAGTCCTTGCCTTGGGGAGTGATGTGAGTTCTGTGTTACAGGTTGCTGGGTTGCCTCTTCCACTTGGAATCGGTTGTGTGCTTTGAAAGGGTGATCCAGACCAGCCTTTATTTTGGCAGTGCCTTGGTATGTTAAAGCAGAGCTGTCTCAGTCCCTAGTGTGAGCTCTTTCTACGTTGGCCGTGGAAACACAAACCATCTTCAGTCCTCTGTCAACTCAGTTTCTGCTTAGCCGCTCCAGTACATCCTTCTGGAGGCTCTCATGTGCACACCAATAAGTGCATGGCCGAAGACTAGAGGTGACTCTGGAAACTTCCAGGCCTTTGTTTTTTGACCCTTGACTCCTTCCTTTTTGGCCTACAGTGTGTTTTCTGTAACTCAGGAAAACGTTTGGGCTGTACTTGAGTTTCCCCTTTTATTTGCTGGGGCCTGGAACCCTCCTCTGGAGAAGGTCTCCTGTTGGGCTTTCCTAGATGATAGTCTGTTGTTAGGGTGGGAGAGCAGGGGCTTCCTATCTGCTTCCACTTTCAGAAAACAACCAAAGCTCTTTCCAAGTGAAAGCAGAATTCAAGCCTCTTCCCTCTGTCTGTGCTCCCCGTAAGGAACATGACTCCTACAAGTCGTAAGTTATAATTAGCACAACAGAGCTTTTCAATTGTTGTTTCAATGAAGTTCAACGTTAATAATAGCAGTGTTAATAATATCTTAAATGTTTCAAAATAACAAGTGTATAATACTTAAATATTCTGAGTGGTACTTTAATATATCAACAAGAGACTATAATACAGTGCTTCTCAATCTGTGGGTTCAGACCCCTTGAAGGGGTCATCTAAGACCATGGATACTACGTTGTGATTCCTAACAGTGGCAAAATTACAGTTATGAAGCAGCAATGAAATAAGTTTATGGTTGGGGTCATAACCACAACATGAGGAACTGTATTAAAAGGTTGTAGCATTAGGAAGCGTGGGATCCACTGCCATAATATGATATAATATTAGAAAACGGTAAAGACACGTGTTTCTCACTCAGGGCCTGGGTTTGGTTCCCAGCACC